AGATTCTAACGGTGTAATTTTTAACTCTTTAATTTGTATTGAATTTATCATGTATTTAAAGTTATGAGTTTGTCTACTATTTATCACAATTTTTATTAATTTTTTTAAAAATAAATATATTTCACGTTAAAAGTTAGGAGATTAATTATAGGGCAAACTACATAAATTCCTCTAGTTTGGATTCTAATTACTAGAATTCACGATAGTTTCAAAAATTACTTCTTAAATCATATTTCTTCCTTTGGATACATGTATCATTACTCACCAGATACATGTATCCCACGGTTCTAAAAGTTGAGATACATGTTTAATTAATTCATGGACAATTAATTCTAGAAATATTAATCAAATCCTTTTTTATAAGGCGGAAATCAAGGAGTGTATCTATGTTTAATTAATTTTATTTTATTACTCTTTGAAATAATAAATTCATTAATATTATTAATAAAAGATAAAAACATGTATATCTTGGTTATAAAATTTGATTAATTTCAACTTATTACTCTTAAAATAATAAATTCATTAATTTGATGTATCTATTATCAATATATGATGTATTCAATAAAAATAAACAAATTCAGTAATTTGATGTATCTATTATCAACATATGATGTATCCAATAAAAATAAACACTTAGATACATGATTGTACGGTATCTAGTATTAATTTCATGTATCTATTTACATACTCTAATATTAAATTCACGTATCTATTTATATGTATCTAGTATTAATTTGGTGTATCAAGTATCAATTTAATACGTTATATCAAAAAAACATGTATCTCGAATACATACTGGTAAGCATATACATCTAATTATGTGTATCTAAATATGGAATGTGACTAAAACACATGAATTTACATAAAAATCACGATTATAGAGTATCTATCATGTCATTAATCCAAAAAAAAATATTCAAAATTAATACCCAAGAAAGATTAGATACATGCATACTTAATAAGATACACTGATAAAAACTAGATACATATAATTGTATCTCAATTATGTGTCAGATACATCAATAATATGTCAAAAAGATGCGTAAATCTCCACTTATTGAAACTTACCGATTACGTTCATGGCTGGTCAGGGCATCTCACCGTGGCGGTGTTTGCTTCACTTTTTAATTTGTTGATGTTGCTCATTGCTCGCTGCACTTAGATCCAACTGACCTCGGCCAGATCTACCGAAAATTTAACATGAGCACTCCTCCAATTGGGCCTTTCGACCTCTTAATCACCTCTGTCGTTGATGCGATCTTCGGATAGTAACAATTTGAAAACGAAAAGTTATAGATTAATTATATGAATATGCATTGATACATTTAATTTAAAGAGGGTAAGAAACAAGAAATTGATGAATAACTTGTACATAACTTCTGGTTGATTGCGGCAGAAACAATTTTAGAAGTAAAAATCTTGACTAAACGTTAATTAGCAGGGGTGGGGGAGATATTGATAGGGTTGGAGATTGGTTGTCATTAAAACATTAAATGTGAAATTTAAATATAAAGATAATTAACCAATCCTAATTTTAAGGGATGTAGGTTCTTTGATTGTATCTTTAAAATATATGACATAAAATATTAAAAGTGGTAATATATGTAATTATTTGAAAGTAGAGGTAAAATTAGTATATATGGTAATGATGTAGGTATAGTTAGGTAATTTTTCCTTAATTATATCCGTACTTGTAGACATAGGAACTCAATATCTGCGGGAATCATTTACACTAAAACTTGTGTTTGGTCCAATTTATGAAATTAAGAGAATTTTTGTTATATTTTTCCATTTCTACCTTTTTCCTGAAATAACAAATAAAGAAATACTAATTAAATTTAGAATTCTAATGTATCATTAATAAAATTAATTTAATAAAATAACTCAAATTAAAGATTTGTTAAGGATAATATGTTTTTAAACTTGGGCTCAACTAACATATATTTATATATGTCTTCCAATTTAGGTATGCATAAATAAACACTTAAACTTGTATAAAATTAAACAAATGGATACATGTGTCATATGTGACATAATACAGTAGGACAAAAATTGCCATATAGGATGCCACATATGATGCATGTGTCTATTTATTCAATTATATAAGTTTAAGTGCCTACTTATGCAGACCCAAAGTTAGAGGGCATAAATACCCGTTGATGCCATGTGAAGACACATGCAACTAGGTGTGCATCGGTCGGTTTGGTTTTATGTATTATCGGTTCGGTTTATCGATTTTTGTTTTTTAAATATGTTAACCAATAACCAAACCAATAAGATATTTTTTTTATCGATTTTCGGTTTATCGGTTTTGGTCCTTAACGGTTCAGTTTTTGATTTAACCAATAAGAAAATACTTATAAAATAAATATATGACTTCTCTAATAAATTTAAGCACAACACAATGTAACTTTACAAATGCTCATAAAATAGAAACAATAATAAAATAACATGAAAAGAACTATACAAGTGTAATACAAAGAGAAAATAAGAGGAATAAGGTTCTTACTTTAGATTTTGACGTTTTGTATAATGTGAAGTTGTGAACTCAAAGTCGTTGTGAAGTGTGAATTGAAGGCTAAAGGATAAATACAGTAACTAGTAAGACAATGAGATTAATATATAATATTTATGTACAAGTAAAAGTAGTAAATTACTAGTCTTAATGAGTTATCGATTTACCCAATAACCCAATATTAAAAATTAATACCGAACCGATAACCCAATAATTTTTTTTTTTATAAACCATTACAAAACTGTTAACCCAATAACCAATAATAATAAACCATAACACTTTTTTCCATTCGATTTATCGGTCGATTCAATTTTTCACACACACGTATATTAAAATAACAAAAAATATTTTTACTATTTTAATTATTATAATATTAAATATCTTAATATTATATAGAAAAAAACCCCTCCTAATTAAGTGTAATACAATTTAGATTAGACATCCTATTTTTCATCGGAAAAAGAAACCTTGTTCTTTAAGAAATCAAACTCTTACCCCTAATTGCCTCATAACACACCTTTTTTAGGAGTTTTTTTTTATATAGTTGGGAAAATATGTCCTAAATATTGATAATTTTGTTCTGTTAACCCTACAAACTAATCATCATGGCCTCCATTACTTTTTGCAATTTGCATAGCTACACCAATAGTAGTAGTACTGCATTATTATTACCAGATGATATCCTTCACAAAATCCTCTGTTCTCTTAATCTCAGAAACAGAGCAATTGCTTCCCAGGTTTGTAAAACTTGGCATGACATTGTATCATTGTGTAACATTAACGATAACATTATCAACGACAACGTATTACAAGCACAAGTTTCTAACCGCACATTCTGTGCATACTGCTGCTCTCGAATTGTCCATCGAATCTGCTATCACAGCCTCTATCCTATAGTTGTCAAGTTTGCTTCCGACAACATCAATTTCGAGGAATTATATTTGATTGCTACTGTTACCTCATTAGCATTGTCCCCCGCAATTTTTCAATCAAGAGTATTGTTAACCGTTTTATGTTTAAAAAACTGCAAATTTGAGGATGAAGCATTTGATGATATTCAAGAGATGAATCTATTGAAAGAGATTTATTTTGTTTCCGTTCAAATCTCTCCAACAAATTTCGTAAAACTTATCAACAATTGTCCTTCTATTGCTGATTTAACCTTGATCAATTGCTACAACGAACTTGGCGTATTTCCAATCTTATTGCCTGATTTGAATCAACTTAAAAAGGTTCATTTGAGTGGTAATGGAATTGGGCCAATTGAAATAAAAGCTCAAAATTTACGAGAGTTTCACTTGTTAAGATCATTAGCAGTGAAACTTGATTTAAGTGCTTGTACTAAGCTACATGTTCTGAAAATCGATTGTGAGTACATTCCTATCGGATTTCCTGAAGATATTTCCTCAGCATTCCCCTGTCTTAAATCGTTGTTTCTTCGTTCGTGCAAAGGATTGAAAATTTTCAAACTTTCGAGTCCTGAATTGGAGAATTTGACGTTAAGTAACATGATTGATTTGAATGATGCTGTCATTGTTACTCCCAATTTACGTTCGTTCAAGATAGTAGATATGAAACAAGTCCCAAACTCGTGTCCAATCGTTGGTTCGAGTCTCATGGAAGTCGAGATTGGATTTAAGTACGTTACCTCGATCAGTAGGTTGGTTTGGTACTTGAGAGCTTTGGGAGAAAATTTGGGTGATAATTTGACCTTTTCTCTAACAACTGATGCAGCAACTGAATCAAAACTGATGCAGCAACTGAATCAAAGGTATTGACAACTTATTAAATTCGGGTTAAGTGTTCATCTAGCTGTTTAATTTTGAAAATTCGCGTGGAATATTATTAATCATTGTGTATGAAGGAGGACAGATTTCGTTCAGACAATATACGGAGCAACAATCAACCACTTCAAATCAAGCAAATTGATTTGTTAATACTCTTGTTAATGTAACCAAGTTATAAATTTCTAATTGATGAATTGTTTAGTTACTTCCATCCGCGAACTTTGCTAGTGAGAGTGAAATCATATGCACTAAAGTATAACTTTATACAGGTACTCCGCGATGTTATGGCTTTATTCTTCACCTTCATATTTTCTTATTTTTCACTCTGTTTTTTTTTTACATTGTACTTATAATGTAATGTATTTGTAGGTTTTATTAGATCAACTGAAAGCCTAGGAAAGGGAATTGGAATGCGGTAAGCGTTATAAATATAGTAATAACATGTGTTGGCGTTATTTCTTGAAAGATTTTAAGATTATGGAATCAACTACAAGACGACGCGCTAATGAGATTAGTTTGGAGTTTCAATGGTAATTAACTTATAATGCACATCTTATGTTTCTGTTTAACAATGCAATGCATATTAAAGTATGCAATATACAACCTTGTTATATATATATATATATATATATAACCAACAGTGCAAATACTTGTCATGTCATACTTCAACGATACAAGATAAGTACAAGTTTGGCCAAACCTAGATAGAAGGCTTCAGCAAATGCGATGGCGTCAGTGCTGAACATAACCTGTTGAAATCCGAACATTATTTAGGAAAATATTCTCTTTAAATGGGGCCTCAAAGAGTAGTCAACTACGAATAAATGGAAATCCTAAGCCTGAACTGGAGAACATAATGTATCTGTAAGTACATGAACAACCTTATTCATTGGAGCAAGCTTCAGGAGTTCTTTCACTGATGATATCATCCCATGGAAGCTAAGTTTAGGAATTGCAAACCCAAAATCAAGATATACCTATATTAGAAGACAATCACTGTGTTAGGGAAACACGGGAAAAGATACTTCATCACTAACAATAGATGTGAAAAAGTCTCAAATTTGGCAGGTAATTCCTACTGCACAAGTAAAATCCATGTCTTAACATCAGAGCAACATGTTAATAGTTTCAGATAGAGGATTAATGATCTTACTTGAGGGTAAGCAGAAGCCAGAGAAGAGGAGCCTCTTCATGCTATATTTTTCAGGCTTCTCAGGGCGTTTCCACGACTCTACCACCCTGTCAATTCTCTTCCTATAACATGAATCCAATTTCATTTCATTTGGGAAAAAGTCATTTTTTATTATTAACAATGTCTTTGTCATTTGATCTAATAGCATTTCGTTAGATATGAACAAATTTGATAAATACTGATAAAGCTTTTTTTATATCTTCTTTTTAGGAGCCTGTGATCTTATTTTCTAGGTTTTGTTATTATACTGTCTGAGGATGAATTATAGTTTCATAAGAAGGAATATTAACTTACAGAAATATACATAAAATGGCCTCCTGAACTTGTCCGATACTTTCATTTTTACACTTTAACTAGGACTAGTACCGACTTTTTATATGTTGTTGAAAATTAAATGTACATATTGAACACAAATTTGATAATTATAAATCATGTTTCATGCGTGAATATCATTTGAACTCGCCGAAGGAGATGACTAAATAGTCTAGGGAGGTAATAGGTCCTCATGAAAGTTTAGTATCATACAGCAAATTCGATCAAAGTTGGGGTATTTTTCAGACTTTTATCCCGATCCGTTTCGATCAAGTTTGTGTATCTCCCACAATTTTCCCCAAACTTATTACCATGTGCCCTTCAATTGTTTATTTAACTTTGATAGATTGTACCTCCCTAAATTCCGTCTCCGTGCCTGATATGAATCAACTTAAAAAGGTTCATGTAAGTTGTGAGATCAGTACATATGTACAAACAATAGAAATTAAAGCTCGAAATCTGCTCGAGTTTAGCATGTTTAATTCACTAGCACCAATGAAAGTTGATTTGTGCGCTTGTACTAAACTACAAGCCCTGAATCTAAATTGTGCAAACATTCCTCAAGAGGTTCCGTCCATAAGATCCTTATCTCTTCCTTTATGTAAAGGATTGAATAAAATCAAAATTACGAGACCTGTATTGGAGAGATTGAGCTTAGTTGATTTGGACGATGCTTTCATTGTTACTCCCAATTTAGGTTTATTCAACCTATTTGATTCCTTTAAATTCCAAAACTCGTGTGCATTGGTGTGTTCAAAGCTAATGGTAGTTGAGATAGGATTGAAGTATGTTCGTGCAACCACTAGGTTTCTCGAGATGTTTCCCTTGGGAACTGAAACAACTGAATCAAAGGTATGTACATTCATATAGCTAAATTATGGTGGTGTTTACTCTGAGTAATTCGAAACTTATTAATGTGCCCATAGATAATACATCTTGTCTGTCGTTACGTGTTCATCTAGTTAGTATTTTTCCAATGGTTTTAGAGTGAACAATTTTTCCATTCAAGTTTGTCAATTTGTGTTGAATGTTACTTCTCATTGTCTATGAAAGAAGTAATATCTCATTGGGGAAATCTTCCAAGTAACTTTGAACCACTTCGTATCAAGAACAGAAATTTGGAAATACTCATGTCGCGGATACCAAGATATGAATCTCTGATTGATGAATTGTTTAGTTACTTCCATCCGCAGACTTTGCTAGTAAGAGTGGATTCAAATGCACTAAAGTATAATAGCTTTATACAGGTATACCGCAATCTTATGACTTCATTCTTCACTTCAATATTTTCCTATCTTCAATTGATCTCTTTCTCCGGTTTTTCATTGTACTGATAATATTATGAATACGTAGGTCCTATTAGACAAACTAAAAGACTGGGAAAGGGAATTGGAAAGCAGCAAAAGATGTGTACATAGTAATAACATGTGTTGGCATTGTTTCTTGAAAGGTTTTAAAATCCTTGAATCAACTACAACACAACACATCTTGGAGTTCCAATGGTAATTTCCTCATATTACTATTTTGTTTTGTTTTGCTTAACATTTACAATATACCTAGGTTTGATGAATTTATTTCCACCTTAGTAGATAGTTCCTGTGTTAGTTCTACTCTTTTATGTATACTTACGAAACCTCTTCATGCTTTATTTTCCAGGCACCACCGTTAGAGAAGATAAGCCCTCGACAACTTCAGACTTTATTTGAACCATGACTGTTTTTTTTTGTCATTGTGATTACATTCTTTTGTGTAATTTAGCCTGATGGTATATAAAATTTTTGCATTGTCATAGTACATTGGGTAGACTTTACCTGATTAATGTCCTGAAATAAAAAAAGCCATTATATTTCTTCCTACTAATGTTTTTCGCTGAAAAAACATGTCAAACAATTCTGGGCAATTCCATTTGTGCAAACTCCCAACCGAAAACCATGAGTGCACGTGTTTGGGAGGATAGTGACTACGCATTGTTAATTCGATAAGTTGTTTTCCTTTTACTCGGTTTATAATGTCATACTTTTTCTATTCTAACCGCGGGAGAAAGAATAAGGGCAATCATCAATTAGTTAAATTTACATTCATTCAGGCTAATAGATATTAAAAAAGTTCCAAGCTGAAATTGGATTGATTTGACAACTCTTGCTGAAAATCTCGAAAATTTTGACCTTCTCTTTGGAAACAAACAAAGCTTAATAAAAGGTATTTACATGGCTAAATGATCAAAGAAAAGGCATTTTATGAAAAAGGTGTATCATCTGATCCAATCCTTGTATGACATGTACACATGTTCATCAATGTCAGATTCAAGTTTTAATGGATTCATACAGTATTCTCAAATTAATTTACAATGATAACTGGAATTTGTGAAAACTCCACAATTTGTGTAAACTATTAAAATGTCCTTAACTTTAATACAATCTTGCCAAATGAGCAAGCATAGAAAGAATATCCTAAGATGTCAAATTAATAAAACACATACTTCAATATTCATTTTAGGCATAATACATAAATGTGTCCTTTGGATTAGAGACGTATCCAGGATTTCGGAAGAATGGGTGCACTATTACAAAAAAATTATAGGTCCAAATATATAATATTACTAGTTTTAAGTTTTAATATACGCATTTGATTTAATTATATAAAAAATTTACGGTGCTAAAATTTTATGAATTTTCAATGTATCACACTTGAAATTTTTGAAAGATTAAACCAAAAAAACAAAAGAAAAAAAATAGTTGAAACACCAAAAGTGTTGCCAATAACCACTTGGAGAGGTCTTACTTAAAAAAAAAAAACATAGATATAAGATTTAAATTTCTATCCTCATTTAGAGAGGTGCACCCAATAATCATCATCATATTATTAAATGATATTTTGAATGTGGGTTCACACATTTTTATTTTATTTTATTTTTAAAAAATAACACTACTATATGTGATCTAGAGAGGGGAGCATGAGTTCACGTGAACCCACAAAACCCCTCTAGATACGCCTCTGTTTGGGATGCAAATTGTCACGTAGGACACCACGTAAGACGTGTGTCTAGTTGTTCAACTTTATACAAACTTAAATGCCTACTTGTGCACATCCAAAATTGGAAGCAAAGACGTTAGTTGAGGCCAAGGTAAATGACATTTTTTTAAAATTTATTATTCCTAAATAAAAAAAGTATTATTTCTTAATATTTTCACAAGATTAAGGGCTCCTATACCTAGAAGGCAAGACATGTGTGTCTAGTTGTTCAACTTTATACAAATTTAAATGCCTACTTGTGCACCTCCAAAGTTGAAAGCAAAGATGTCAGTTGAGGCCAAGGTAAATTTAAAAATTTATTATTCCTAAATAAAAAGAGTATTATTTCTTAATATTTACACAAAGATTAAGGGCTCCTAAACCTAAAAGGCAGGAGTAGTCTTTATTTGAAGTTTTCCTATTTTACGAAATTAGTGAAACTATAAAAAATTAATTGGTAACAACTCCTAAATCAAATAAGAATCTGCTGCTCGATTTTTTTTTTTGTTCCTATATAAGGAATGATTTATCCTAAAGTAAACTATTAAGTTTTTTTGTTATATGTATCTCCAACCCCACAAAATACTAACATAGTTTATCTCATGTCCTCCATTGTTTGTGATGATATATTTTCCGAGTTACCATATGATATCGGTCAGAAAATCCTATCTTGTCTAAATCTAAAAGAAAGAGCAACAAGTTGCCTTGTTTCGAGAAATTGGTATCACATGATAACATCATTGGACGATCGCAAATTTGTACAAACATCCCCTTCAATCAAATACGGTGGATACTGCAATTGCATTCCATCTTCCAGGCTCAAATTCTGTAGAACGTGCTCTGCCCTCCGCACTGTCATCAAAGTTGCTGCAGATAACACTACTTTAACGGAAATGTATTTGTTTGTACCAATTTCCTCTGCTTTCTTCAAATTTTCCCCTGCACTTTTTGACTCGAGATTATTAACCGTTTTGCATTTAAAATTGTGCGAAATTAATGGGAATGATATTAAGGAGTTTCCTTGTTTGAAAGAAATCCATTTCGATCAAGTTTGTATATCTCCCACAATTTTCTCCAAACTTATCAACATGTGTCCTTCAATTGTTTATTTAACTTTGATAGATTGTACCTCCCTAAATTCCGTCTCCGTGCCTGATATGAATCAACTTAAAAAGGTTCATGTAAGTTGTGAGGTCAGTACATATGTACAAACAATAGAAATTAAAGCTCGAAATCTGCTCGAGTTTAGCTTGTTTAATTCACTAGCACCAATGAAAGTTGATTTGTGCGCTTGTACTAAGCTACAAGTCCTGAATCTAAATTGTGCAAACATTCCTCAAGAGGTTCCGTCCATAAAATCATTATCTCTTCCTCTATGTAAAGGATTGAATAAAATCAAAATTATGAGTCCTCTATTGGAGACTTTGAGTTTAATTGATTTGGATGATACTTTGTTTGGTTGTTAATCCCAATTTACGTTGGTTCAAGATATTCGATTCCTTTACATTCCAAAACACGTGTGCCTTGGATTGTTCAAAGCTAATGGAAGTTAGGATCGGATTGAAGAATAATCGTGCAATCATAAGTTTTAACGACATGTTGCCATTGGAAATTGACACAACTGAATCAAAGGTATGTTGGTGTTTATTTTGAGTAATT